AAAAAAAAAAAAAAAAAAAAAAAGCCCCAGCTCACTGGGTGCTGTTTGGCAGGGGGCGATCCCTGCTGCCCGCACTGGCCCATGCTGCATGGCGGTCTCTGCATGAGCCCCCCCAGCCCCACTACATGGGCCAGCTCTGGCCCTTTAAGAAAAAAAACCCCCTGAAAAAACCCCAGGACTCACCACTCCCTCTGGCAGGGGGCAATCCCCACTGGCCCCCACTGCCCTGCATTACATGGGGGGTTCTGCATGAGCCCCTGAAGCCCCATTGGGAGCAGTGAGCCCCAGCAGGACCAGTGAGTCCTGGGGCTTTTCTTGTTTTTGTTTTTTTTTCTTAAAGGGCCGGAGCTGGCCCAGGCAGGGCACCCATGGGGAGGCTAGCAGAGCAGGGGGGAATTGGGGGCTCATGGCAAAGCCCCCCATGCAATGGGGGGACAGCAGGGATTGCCCCCCCCACACACACACACACTCCCTGGCAGCACCCGGTGAGCACTGGGGCTTTTTTTTAAAGTACTGAGCTGGGGTGGGCACCCATGGGGGGACTGGGGGAGCAGGAAGGGGGCTGGGGGGCCTGGCAGGAATCTCTTCTGAAGATTCGGAGAGCTCTGAATCAATTCAGACCTTTAAATTGGTCCCCTGATTCTATTCGGATTCAGAGATTCGGCCACCAAATAGGGTCAAATCTCCTCCGAACTGAATCACCACCCAAAGCTTCACACAGCCCTACCTAATAGTGCTCATCACCCTCCCACTGCCCCCCTCCCCCAGGCTTCTAGTATACACATAGCTGAAGAACAGCTTTCTAAATGTCTTGATGACTTGCTCTTATATTCATGCTCACCTTGATTTACACTGCTCAACCCAAGATGAACCAGCAAAACAGGGCAGTTCTGATGCTTCCTCATAACTCCCCATCATGGCTTCTGGTCAGTAAATACCTTTCTCTTTTTTCCATTGGAATAAAAAGGTGATGAGCTGAATTTGCTCCTTATAACAACTCTAAACCTTGTCTGGGAGTCAATTAGAAGAAAACAGTCCACGGCTTGGCTTCAAAAGGCCTTCTCTTGGGGGCACTACAGTACTGAGGCAAAGGAGAGTATGGCTGGGGGACACTGCCAAAAGAAGGCAAAAGAAGTAAATACCCCATGACAGGCTTCAGGACCATTCCCTGGGCAGACTCACTTCTGTCCCTGAGAACCTTCGGTGGCAAGTAGAGATAATGTGTGTGACTCATGGTGCTTTTTTCTGATCTGTTTTTAGCTAACTACAGTCAGCCAGAAATAGTGAAGCTACACAAGGGAACAGTAAAACCTGGCACAGCTTTGAATCTCTCCTGCTCCTCCAGCTGGGGCTATCCAGAGCCCACACAGATGAGCTGGCAAGTTTCAAAGGGAAACTTGACTGAGGAACATGTGGACCAAATGGCAGTTTTTCAGGATGATAAAACAAAGCTGTATAAGGTTACCATCACTCGGACCTTCCAGGTTCCCATGGATACCCACATTAACATCAGCTGCCTGGTTTACCCAGCATGGAAAATGGAAAGCCTTGTCTCAAAGTCACTATGCATTGGTGCGTCTTGCTTTGGCCATGCTGACTTTTCAGCCCTTAGGTGCCATTAATATTGAGGTGCATTTGGACACAACAGTCACTAGTGAAGGTTAAGGCAGTCACCATCAGTGTAAAACCTTTATTTTATAAATAATAAAAAATGGCAAAAAGTTGAACCTAATATTCTAACATGGTAAGCCCCGAATTTATCCACTCAGACCCAGTGCCTTTCACACAGAAGTGCTTTCATTAGCCCATCTCTAACAACTGAGCTACATGATTCTTGCTGAATGGAAACCCCTAATTCCAGTCTACTGCTGCTGTTCTGTAATCCACTATGAAAGTGTATGTCAAAGCCTCCTGTACTGGCTGAGCCAAAGAAAGGCTTACAGTTACATCTGTAGCTCAAGTTGGAAACATCTGAGCTGTGGGACTAAACAACTAACACTCAAACCCTGCTGTGGGCACATCAGAAGATGTTAGAATTGTATATGAGATAACTTGTTTTTAATCCCCTCCCCATTTAAAATAAAAGCCCTTTTTAATTCACACTGTGAGGAAAAATCCTTTAGTACCCCTTAGCACACTTTTTAATTTGTACATGAGAATATGAATGCATCAGGGTAGAGGAGCTCTATAAGCCAGTCCCTTGTACATATTTGTGTTGCCTTGACAGGTTGGGTGTTCTTGCAGGGTGAAGCATATCTCATCTTCCAGAGGGAATGGCAGCAGTGTAGAAAGCAGGGTTGAGTAGGCATGTTCTCTGCTATTGCTGCCGCAGTTGCCTGTGTCCCGTTTAAACAAGCATGAAGGGGTAGACACTCTGTTCCTCAAACATCACAATAGGGAAATACAATTCATAAATAAATCTTCCAAGGACAGGACACAGCCTCTTATGCCCTTCAGAAAGATCAAGACTCCCAAAGATGACTTTAGCAGTGAAGGTAGCTTCTCTCCCTGACTGAGGGTCTACCCAACACCAACCTTATATTGGCACCCAGGAGTTAAACTCAAGTGAAATTCACTTCAACTTGCCTCAGGATACCCCAAACCAAACCTAAACTTTAAAGACATGATAATAAGAAATTAAGGGAAAACTCCCCTGCATTCTGTGCCTCTTTCATATCCCCCTGAAACACTATGAATAGCACAGTAGAACATTTCATATGTTCTATGACTTCCACCTCCAACAGTTACCAAGAAATATTTAGTCCAGTTCCTCAAATTTACACTGTAGCACAAAACTTTAACAGAAGTTTCACATGCTCTTATATCAAGAGAGCAACATATCTAACTGTTATACATTCCACGCTTTTGGGAAACTATTTTCCCTTAATATTTTTGAGGTGGCCATTAAGATTTCAAGCTCAAATGAAGCAATGTAAAAGCAGCAAGGAATGCTGGAAATGTTTTTACATTATCTTTTGATTTATGTGCTTTTATGGTTTGGGCTAGATGGGATGGGTCATAACTGTGAATAAATGAATTTATTATCACTGTTAAAGATTTAAAGTCTGTACTCCTTTCTTTATTCAGCACCAGAACCAGTAACACAAGTCATGCAACCCGTTATTCTGCTTGCAGTTGGGTTGATAGCTGGAGTGGTCATAGCTGGTGTGGTTCTTGTGATGGTGGTGAGAAAGAGAAGTAGATGTAACACTTCTACCAGCCATTGTAAGTTTTTGCTTCCCATTCAGTCCTACTTTTTTCCACATCATAGTTCTTCTTTTGAGTCCCTCTGAACGTTATCCTTCATCCTACAGTCAAATGGAAATAGCTAGTTGCTAATACACTGGCTATCAGCATGCATACTGAACAGCAAGGAATCAATTAAAATGCAAAACAAAACTTCTTAATATTTTATATCTAAAACACCACTTCATCTCTGGTTTGCACAGAGATGGGAATCTCCTGAGGACACCCTTTCCCCTGAGATATCATATCAGACTCTTCTTGTTACCTGCAAAGTGATTTGGTTTTAAATTCTGGCCATTGACTTAAAGACTAGGAGTATAGGGATCAGGATAGAAGAGGAGATTATGAGATTTCATTTGATCAACTAGATAGTCAGAGGTGGGAAAACAGATAGGAATCGGAAATGATTCTGTATGTCAATTAGCATAGCTTAGTCTTGATTAGAAGAAATTATGTTTCTCCAAGCATCCCCCTTACTGATGATATCTCCAACAGGAGTGGGTGGATGTCTTTCCACCCAAGAGGCAAGGCGTGTGTGCCATCCCATAAGTTAGCAACTTGGTTACACTCACTATGCTGGACAACTGTGTACCCACTCAAGGGCATCCTCCTTCCAGCAGCATGTCCATATACCAGCATATCCATGTATTCCCTGCTATCCCCAGTTCCCTTAGCAAACTGACGTGTTCTTCTCTCTTATCCTGCATGTAGCTCTCACAGTCTGAAAATATTTCCACATCCTCAGTCCCACCCCTCTGCCAGCTTCCCTCCCTGACAGATTTGGCTCATCTGTCATAGGAATTGTGTAAACTTATTTTGTCTAGCACTACTGCCAGCTGGAGCAAGACTAGGAAAACCAGTTAATAGTAATAGTGACAAATTCATAGCAATTAATAGTAATTAATTTGTCCGCTTCCCATATCAGTTACTCCAGATGCTATACTGAAGGACCTGTCTTCTGAATGAGAACTGAATTTAGTCTTCATTTTTAGTCTGTGCTTGAATTTCTCCATAGTGCTCCAGTACTGAATCCCAAAGTCCTGCAGTTACCTCAAATCAAAAGGATCCTACTCCTAATATGGAAGTCCTGTCCTTTCTTGTATCAAGAGTAAAATATGTTCCCCAGAGTCTCCAGGCCTACATTTGTTCACACAGCCAAACAGAGTTCAGTCCCCAGCAGACATAATTCTCTTCGAGGGGTCTTGTCACACAAAACACTTAAGACGCATTTTATTTAGATCATAGTTGGCACATCTACATGTGCACTTTAATGTGCAGTAGCCCATTTTACTGAGCATTCGAGCATCACAGAAAAACTGTGCTAATATGATAATGCAAGTAAAATTAGGCTACTGAGTATTGAGCATCACTAAAAAAGCATGTGCTTTCACTACTGTGCATAAGGCAGCCTAATGCACATTTAGTTAGTACCTTATATTAGAGGTGCTAAATTTAATCCATGATAGACAAAGCACATTAATGAACATGTAGACTCCCCTAGTAAGTATTACTGTGCCATACTAAAAGTTAGAATGCGAACTAAGCCATGGGCAACTGGTGCCGCCTTAGTCAGGAGGGGCCTGTGCCCCCCTACTCCGTGACCAGTCCCACTGACTGGGGTGGGGGGTTCCCCTGGACAATCCTGCAGACCAGGGGGTGGGTGGGGTGTCCCCCAGGCAATCCCTCGATGGCTGATCACTGTAATCGCTGCAGCTGCTTCCAGGAGTGGCTGCAGCCACTTCTGGGAGCAAGTGCCGGCCGATTGCTGCAGCCACTCCCACCTGCCTGTCCCATCCATTGCCTAAGTGGTGAGCGTGGCTGGTCAGGCGGTGCACCAATGCTCTCAGGGTGTGCACATGCACCCCCTATGCATAGCCACTGATCTGAGCAGCCACATGGTAATGTTTACTATGATCTCTAATACAATCTCTTACAGCACAGTTTGCTGATTGTCAGTCCCAGCCTGGCACCTCACCAGAGTCCTGAACCAGGTCTGATGCACTGCTAGGGCTGAGACTGACAATCAGATGATTATTGCTCTCAGTCCCAGAACTGCACAGGGACCTGTTCAGGATTCTGATGAGGTTCTGGGGCCAGGACCAACAATCAGCTCATTGTTGATCCCAGTCCTAGCACCACACCAGACCCAGTTCAAAACTACAGTGTGGTGCTGGGACTGACAATCAGCTGATTGCCAGTCCTAACCCCACCACACCACAGCTGGTTCAAGACTGCTACCATATTAGGGCTGGGACCAACAGTGAAGGCTTGGTGTATCAGAGGGGTCCCTTGTAGATGTCATCGCTGGGTAACTGCCACATACTGCTTGTATTATTTCTATGGAACAGCCAGACAATAGCTAAACATATGTTACTTAGTACAACTTGGAGATAGCCCTTGCACAAAAGGTCCTAACTTTGCTATCTATGATACTATCAAACTTAACATGTGGTTTACTGCTTGAATGTGCAGACACTTACATGTTAAATACAGGTAAGACCTCCTAAGTGTCCTGTATAACAAGGCCCTTCCTCTACTTCCTGAGATCAGTGGGGTTTTTAACATTGGCTCTTTTTTCCTACTTAACTCCTATTTCTCAGATTTCTGTAAATCTTGCATTTATTTATTTCATGTCTCCTTGTAGCTAGTCAGATGGGAACAGAAGTGAACAGACAACCTAATAACAAGTAAGTATTTTTGCAACTTTGATTACAGTATGTAGCAGGGACTGAGGTAGGCTTAGTCCTTCATCCAGTACCAGGACGGGGAACCTCTCCATGGGCTCAAAACAGTGGATTGAAATACTTTAGCCTGCTGACTGAAACACAGCATATGTCATTTTCTGCTTTAATTTTCCCCTGGCAGTGAACAGATGCTTGCCCTGTGCCTATTTGAATGTCTTTCAGTCTTTGCAGGCCGTTATTTTGGTGCACTTAGAATTAAAGTAACTGGGGCATTAGATCAGAAGAAATTCCAACTCAGAGCCTCTCATAGGTTGAGGTTTTTTCATTGTCATATCAGCTAACACTCCTCCTGTTTTCCCCAACTCCTGTTTTCCTCAGAGATGAAGACTTGAAACCAATGACCATGCAACTTTGGAGAGGAGAAATGCAGTCCTGCCATTAACTCCCCAGGAGGGATCATCCAGAACCAATAAGAACAGGGAAACTCCCTCCAGAAAGAAGTAGAGGTGAAACACAGAGAGAGCTGTGATGCAGACATGGTTAAGGATGAACTAGAAAAGAAGACGGGACTGTCCAAAGAACATAAATCTCTCAGCCTCTCCAAGAGTACCTGGTGCCCAGCTATGCACAGCCAGTGATTGCTCCCAGTCTCTTTTGGACTCATTAACCCCCATCATGGAACATGTACTCCTCCCTGGACTGGTCAGGGCCACATCAGACTTCGCTAGATATTTGGGAAGACAAGCTAAACAGAAACATTCTTGCTCTGATTTCACTTCTTAGTCTGGTGACTGGACCTACCATAAGTCTTACTAGCTAAGGAACAGTATTTTTAAGGATAAAAGCCCACATTGGGAAATGGCAAGGATTCTATAAGGATAATATATAAGGATTATATTTTTCATCAGCTTTTTCTTTTTCATGGTTGGTTGCAATCTCTTCACTACCCCATAAATGAAGCACTCGAATGCTATATACTCCCTAACCCTGAAATTAAGTGACAAAATTGGTGTCATGTAGAAGACAGCAGGATACCCCATGGAAAAAAATGGGGTTAGACCTGTCAGTGAATAATATTCCTCAATGAAAAGATAGTCTGAAGCAGATTCTTCCTATTAATCTTGGGCCATAAGTATTTTGGTAGAGTCAGCTGGATATAATGTTAGTGACTATACTCTCCTTTGCTCTGAAGTAGAAAGAGCAACTGCAGGTTGGTTGCCTGCATTCTGAGAAAATGTATGCTGTCTTTGGTGAACATTTGATATTAGATGTAAGCAAAGGAAAGTAATTCATCTCTGAACAAAATTTAGCAAAACACTTTTTAAAATTAGTAGTAGTAGTAGTATTAATATTATTATTACTGAAACTTTACTTGCATGAATTTGGGGAGTATCAATGATTGTTTTGTTAGAAAAGAGCACTGACTTTGATATTGTAATTTGGTTCATTACATTCTGACTTTTTTAATTTCCCTTGCATTGTCTGGAAGGAAAGTGTTGCATACTTTATTCTGTATTTAGGTAGTTGCTTAGCATGCAGAATAAGTCCAACTTCTTAGCAGGTGACTGCCGATCTAGCAGTGATGGAGAGGAGTGATCACAGTAATGTAGTCTCTTAAGTATCTGTTAGCCTTCAGGAGAACTTCAGTAGAAATGACAAGATCTAAACCCAGAATCATGACCACCTGTAGTAAAAAAAAAAATAGCAACAGGGGTATTAGCACCTCATTTTCTGGTCAGATTGCAGCTAAGGTACTTATGTTCTGTTGACCTAGATTTCCTACAACTTCAGCTGGCTACAATGGTTTTTTTCCTCTCTTAAGTGATTGCACACATCTTCCACATTCTACCCTAGAGAATATTACACATTAGTGCTGGATGAATTTGTCTGAGTGGGCATGTCTACACATTGCTGTACAGTGAGGTTGTTACTGCACCATGTTTTAGTACTTCCTTTTGGAAGTACTACTACAAGGCGCAGTAACTGCCCATACTATGCCACACTGGTGACACATGAGAAGATTTCCCTGCTACACCGCTGTAGCAGTGCCCTATAATCAGGGAGGGTGCTACTAAAGTGATGTAGCTGGCAATCACGTGTAGACTGACATGATCACTACATCACTAGTCTACCGTACAGCGATATAGCATGTCACTACATTACTGTAGGGCAACTTGTAGATGCCCCCAGTGAGTAAAGCCATTTGGGATCATGTATCATACATGTTTATAAGTTATTAGCCATATTACACTAAAATAATTTTGTAAAAAATGTCAAAGGTTTTATTTTTAAGTAAAAGTTTATATTTGCTAACATTATTATTATTTAATTAATTATTAAAGTACACATTTTCTGTACTTGTGTTTTATTTTTCTGTCTGTAAAACCATCAGCATATTGGTAGCTATATGACCTGTTTAATAACAGTCTCAAACAGAAAACATAGAGGTAGTTCTCTGAGCAAACCATGGGGGAATTGCTGAAAATTGTGCATGTAACTAATGTAAAAACAAGTGAAGGTTTTGCACATAACAAGAAAAGTAGCTAGTGATTTATCAGCAGCAATCTTTGCAAACCTGGCCATACACATTCTGATGAGGCACCAAACTCCAAGCTGCCAGCTGGCCCATTGAAGTTTATTCTTCAGGTTATTGGGAATCTGGCTGGCAGGACATCTCTTTCATTCCTTGGAGATCTCAGAACAACAGCAGAGTCTCCCTATGCCTGAGGAAGGGTGCTTGTGCCTGAAAGCTTGCTAAAAACTTTCTTTCAACTAGTCAGTTGGTCGAATAAAAGATATCACATCTACCCAGAGAACGTTGCCAAGACATCCCTTAGGCATTTCTAAATCTCAGTGTAAATGCTATACATAGAAATTCCCTTGAAGAAAGGATATTTGAAAACCATTTGAAAATATTTGAACCATGGAAGCTCAATAGATATGTTTTCAATAGGCTTCCATATTTTCTCCCTTGCTCCTTCATGCCTATTTTTGCTTGGATTGCCCACCTCCAAATCCACACCAACAGTGGAGTTATATCTTGCCAATATTCAGATCCTGCCCCACCAACAAACAATCTCCATTGGTTTTATTTACATACAAATCACACCAATACCTAAATTCCCTTGGCTGAGGCCCAAACGACTGGGTCAGGGTTGAAAGACAGCAGCCAGAATAAAATAAAACAATTCAAAAAGGATGTGGAGAAGCTTGAGAGAGTCCAGAGAAGAGCCACGGGCATGATCAGAGGCCAGGAAAACAGACCTTACTATGAGAGGCTGAGAACCATTGGACTCTTCAGCTTGGAAAAGCACAGGCTCAGGGGCGATCTGGTGGCAACCTTATAAGTTCATCAGGGGTGCTTAGCAGGATCTGGGGGAATGTCTGTTCACCACAGTGCCCCAAGGCATGACAAGGTCGAACAGTCACAAACTCCTCCATGACTGTTTCAGGCTGGACAAAAGGAAGAA